ATGTTTGCAAAACCAAGCCATACCAAGCCATCCCATCTGGGCTCTCATTGGCCTCAAGGGTGTTCAGCAAGTGTGTGGAAGCCACTCTGTCTCCGTTATGGAACAGCGGCATCAGGATTTCCCCTTACATAGACGATTATCTGACATCCACACTGCTAGAGCCGCCTCTCTCTCCTCTGTCCTCATCCTTCTGGACCTCTCCGCTGCATTTGACACAGTCAACCACCAGATCCTTATTTCCTCCCTTCAGGAACTTGGTGTCTCAGGCTCTGCTCTCTCCCTTCTCTCGTCCTACCTCGACGGCCGCACCCACCGGGTAACCTTGCGAGCAGTGCTGTAGTGGTAAAATTAGAGGTGGGTAAACTCTGAATTTTGTGATCATACAGACCTCGACGCGATGCGAAGCAACGCGATGCGAAGAGTTGCGACTCTGTAAGGCTGTCCTGGCTATATTGCATTATGTTAAATGTTAAATTTAAGAAAACAGTAAAGAAAAGTATGTCAACACAACACAACAACACAATTGCAGATTAAGAACTATCTACATACGGAGTCTCCTTTTTACAGTAGTGCCCAGAGGGCCTCCTTGTCCTCCACGTCAGGTCCTGCCTTGCACAGAGGAGCCATGAACCCCAGAACACATGTTCTGGGGTTCATGGCTCCTCTGTGCTTCTCTCTCTATTCGACCTGGTGTTTCTCCTCTCCCTGTGCTCTCTGCATCATTGCCTGTCCTATCACTGCCTGAAAAAATATGTTGAATTAAGAGTTAACCAGTTAAGCAGCATGTCAATTACACTGACAACATATGTTAAAGGAACACTCATGTACTACCTATGTCATCATAAATAGCCTATACAGCATGTTTTTTTTCACATTGAGAACTGACTTGTTTTCTAATCTATGCGTCATCAAGCGTTTTTCTTGTCCTTTTACTGTGCACGACCAGCGAACACAGAGCGCACGACTACTACCCCCCCGTCGGTCGTTCCGCCCGCAACGACTACTACACCCCCCCCCCGTCGGACTTTCTCGACTGGTCCGCGAAATATTGTCTGACATGAAACCGGTCCGTGAGGTAAGAAAGGTTGGGGACCACTAGGCTGATCCACAGCGTGTATGTGTTTACACACCTCCTGGATCCTGATTGGTGTCGCTGCTGCAGCCGCAAGGCACTGATTGGATGCTCACAGACCGTAATACAGCGCAGATGAAAATGATTCAGACTACGGCGTTTATATGTTCAACAATAGGAAACGTAGTCTTAGCTGTTTTAAAATTACACCAATTTTATTTCGGATTATTCCAACGGAAGAATACAAGGCGCAGGGAACTTTGAGGTGCGTAAACGCTATTTATAGGTGCATAAACGCTATTTATAGGTGCGTAAACGCTATTTCCAAAATTCTAGAGGTGCATAAACGGCGTTTACGTGCGTTTACCCTCCACTACAGCCCTGCTTGCGAGGATCTGTGTCGGAACCTTATCCTCCTACTACTGGAGTTCCTCAGGGTTCCGTCCTGGGTCCCCTCCTCTTCTCGCTCTACACCAACTCTCTCGGCGCTGTCATTTGCTCGCATGACTTCTCCTACCACAGCTATGCCGATGACACCCAACTAATTCTCTCCTTCCCTCACTTGGACACCAAGGTGGCGGCACGGATCTCTGCCTGTCTAACTGACATCTCTCAGTGGATGTCCGCCCACTATCTGAAAATCAACCCCGACAAGACTGAACTACTTCTCTTTCCGGGAAAAGACAACATGACTGTCAACTTTGGCAACTCCACTGACCGCTAGGAACCTCGGCATCGCACTCGACAGCCAACTTTCCCTGACTCCCAACATCACTGCGACAACACGATCCTGTAGATCGCTTGACTGGTCTTTAACCTTCCGAAATTCTCCCACACTGCTCCACTCCTCCGCTCTCTTCACTGGCTACCGGTGACTGCCCGCATCCAGTTCAAAACATTGGTGCTCACGTACCATGCTGTGAATGGATCAGGTCCAGCTTACATCCAGGACATGGTCAAACCCTACATCCCGACCCGCACTCTCCGATCTGCATCTGCAAAACTGCTCGTCCCTCCCTCACTGAGAGCAAAGCACTCTACTAGATCACGACTCTTTGCTGACTCTTTGCTGTCCTGTCCTCCCTGAAGACACCAGGACAGCAGAGAGCCTTCACATCTTCCGCCGCAAACTACAGACACACCTCTTCAGACTCTACCTCGACTAAAAGACTAACAAATTCTAGCACTGTAATTGTACCTGTAACGCCACTCATCTATAGCAATTGTAAATTGGCTTATTTGAGGAAAATTGCACTTTCTTGTTTCTTGTTCTTCTGAGTTTGTACCCCTATGGTTGAATGCACTTATTATAAGTCGCTTTGGATAAAAGCGTCAGCTAAATGACATGTAATGTAATATGCTCCCAGTCACAAGGGCAGGCGGTCAGAGATTCCACTACGGTGATAAATCATCTCATGGATTTGGGGTTCAATATAAACTGGACAAAATGTCAAGTTGAACCGGTGCAATGTACAGGTTACTTGGGTCTCAACATAAACTCCCTCTTATCGCGTCACGTTGACAGAGGCGAGAATAGCGTCCCTCACGGTACATTTGGGGCTTCTATGGATGAAGAAATTTCAGCTCTGGGTCGTGGCATCTTTGCCTTGCGAGAAAACACTCAATGTCCACTGTTTTTATTAAAGCACCACTGGGGATGGATGTGCTGGCCCACTCGTGGCCTTGTGGCATTCCCCCCTTCTCAGCCTGATTTCCTCGACTCTAGACAGAGTACGAGAACAGGGCTTGACGCTAATCTTGATCCAAGCACCAGGTGGCAGAAATAATACAGCTCTTGACAGACGAGCCGTGGGCCTCTCCCCATACGCAGGGATCTTCTGTCCCAGTGTGGTGGGGAGATCTTCCACCCTCAACCCGACCGAATAGGGCTCTGGGCTTGGCCTGTGAGGTGGAACCTGAACGCAACAAGCCTGCCTGAACGTGTCATTGACACCATGCATTCAGAGTGCAACTTCTGAAGTGCTCTCTGTACACTGGTAAATGGCAGCTTTCTGAGGGATAGTGCCGTCTGAGGCACATTGTTGCTCCCCAGTGTTCAGTAGCTGCCCTATTGTGTTTCCTGCAAGATTTAGTAGGGCAAAGCCTTTTCTACCATTAAAGTATATTTATCGGCTATTTCAGCTTATAATTTGGGCTTTTGTGAGAAGCTGGTGGGGCATCATCTTTTAGTATGTTGTTTCATGAAAGGTGCTCGCCGTAAACTCAGCGTTTCCAGGCCCGTGGTTCCTCTGGAATCTATTGGTGGTTTTGGAGGCCCTGTCTCAACACCCGTTTGAGCCTATGGTGGTGGTGGAGATGAAGGTTATTTCAGTTAAAAGAGCATTGCTCTTAACCAGAGCAAAGCGTTTGAGTGACTTCCTGCGTGTTCATCGCCCTTCCTGCTTACAGTTTGCTCCAAGGTTCACCAGGGTCAGTATGTATGAGGTCAGTCTCGGAACAATTCACAACTGTATTTGATTCATGAATGCACACAGAACAATTCACAAATGTATTTGACTTACAAATGCACACAGAAGGATTTACAAATACATTTCAATGCACACATAAATGAATCACGATTTATATTTGCAGATCGCACTGCATTTATTTGCGGATCGCACTGTATTTATTTGCGGAACAATGCGTTTTTCCAACATGGACTCTAGAAAATCAGACGCGCCACTTCTAGTGTAAGTGAAACATGATTAATGTACTGTAATGGGAAAATGATATGCAACCCTTTTAAATGCTTCATTTGTATAACCAGTTTATTAGTTGCAAGTGCTTAGATCACAAAGGCCCTGACATAAGAACTGACGTCTCCCACTTCGATTAGATGTTTCCAGCATCATAGCTGTAGAGATTGAACAAAGTGTTTGTTATGTCTATGACCACCTTTGTTTTAGCATGTTGGGAGAGCCAGGACACGGTCAAAGAACTGACGTGTCTTACATGGATAAGATCTTCCCAGTACCCTGGCTGTAGATACTCAACAAGATGGTCAAAGGTTTCTGTTGACGCCACCGATATCTAAACTTAGGTATAAGAACTGCCTCGATGTGTTGGGGGCAGAAAGAGGTTCTTGACAGTCTACTGACCACGTAGCTGTTGTGACCCTCTTTCCCTTGCAAGGAAATAAACGGAGAGAAGACATACTTGACTCAGAGCCTTTGTTTCTTACTTAACGATTGTCTGTGCAAAATCTTCCACCACAGTACCCCTCCCCCCACATGTTGTACGACATGACATATTCTTGAACAGTGAATTATTCGTTTTGATATGTTAACGTTATGTTGGTGGAGAAAAGTCTGTGAATTATTTGCAACTTCTTATTCAGTTTAATATTGTAGCTCCATTAGCTTAGTTAGCTAGCTAGTGACTGTGATGTGTTACCGGGTCTGTCACCTGGCAGCACTTGTCCAATCTCTAAGTTACATACTTATTATTGCATATCTATTTGCACCTCCTTGTTTGGGTGCTGCAATTGCTAAGAATGAACACAAAAAGAAAGAGATGCCAGTTCTGATCCAAAATCTGCATACAAATGGGGTAGAGATATAACAAGACAAGAACAGCAGTCTCCCATACAGACGTCTGCTGTTTAACCACCTGTCCAACTTCACCTCCAGATACAGGGGTTGTCACTCTAGACACAGCCTGATTTTGTTGGAGATATATAAATGACTTATTTTTATCTTCCTAGGTATTTGGATGGTAAACAACAAGTAATGTCAGGATTTAGCATTCACTTTTTCAAAATGTTTTCTTTGTCATGCGACGCTTACTTGGAAAATACTTCGGATTTGCAAGGAAGGTTGAGTCATGTTTTGCAACATGCTCAACCTAGAAGTTGACCCCACGGTTCAGCACTTGAACACTGACAATCAGAATGCATGATTAGGTTCTGTTGAGCAGTGTCTGTATGTACCTTCTGCATTGCAGCACAAAGCATGTCATTGCCTTTGTGGATTGGGACCTGAACTGAACCCAGGAATTTCCCCAGGAACTGATCTGTCCAGCCATCTTTCTGGACTGCAAGAGCAAAAGTGAAAAACAAGCTTTAATCATGAGATGTTGTTTATGGTGGTAGTATTTTATCTTGTTCATTGCTGTTTTTTGCAATGTACCTTGGTTAGTATCTTTAGCCACCCTCACAGCATAGAAGGCAGGGAAGATGCCAGTATCTCCGGTCCTCATGTTGTAACCTTGACACCAAAGGTCCTCCGACTGGTTCAGCATTAACACTGGGTCATCTGTTTCAAGATACAGCTCGTCTGTATGACGGGGGACAAACCTAAAAGACATACAGATTTTGGGCTTATGGGTTTATTTGGACATGTCCCTGAGTTTGTGCATGTTCATATCTTTTGACCTGTAGACAGCTCTGTGGCTCTGTTGTCTCTCCACTCCATCCAAAACACAGGAGAACACACCAAATGACCCAGCACCTGAATAATAAAGCAATGATGTCACTCATTTGAGAATATGATATTTTAATGAAAAAGTAATCCAATTATGACACAGAATCTGAAAGTTCAAATGGCCACCACTATCAGAAATGGAAATCATTGACCCTGACTACTGCTGGTGGTAGAATGAAAAAAGATATGGGGAGCTGCTACAGCACAGTGGGATTTAATCAGCAATGCACACAAGTCAAAGGCACAAATAACCAACACATTATAATTCACAAACGTGAATAAAAGTATGTTTTGTGAAATTAGTCAGATAATATTCACATTCCAACAATTCTTGTTTTAACACACATTGACACTTTGGAAATGCCTACACCTAGCATCCACGTCACGCCGCCGTTTTATTTTCTGTAAATGCAGACCTTTAAAGAGCTGTTGATGCCACTCATTTTTGAAAATGTCACAATTGCATTCTAGTCTCAAGGGGCAGAAACCGACCATTAACCATTTTTAATGAAGTGGGTTTTCTTTTGAAACAGTGATAAAATGCCAGTGTTCTGGTTTTAAATTTAGTGTTGGTAAGTTTAGGAGTTATTGTAGTTATTTCCTACAATCAAGCCCATATGGACTGGTATTGTTCCTTTCTTTTGTGGTTCCAATGTAAAACAATGCATTATATTTTAAATATTTCTTTAACAATTTTGTCATTGCTTCCATATATATATGTACTTAATTGCCTGTGAGAATGACATGACTTTTTGCACCTAACCTCAAAGGAGCCCAATCATTTTTTTTTTTAATTTAAATCAAAAATATACAAAGAATATACAAACCTGTGGTGCTGTAATGACTGCTGTAGTTGGAAAACAGGTTGTGGAACTTCTTACTTCTTACTACATCAGGCTCTTCCTCCTCTGAAGTTGTGGTTGATGTTACCTTGGACTGCGTGCAGATCCTTCCCACAACGTCCCTCCTCCTCTTCACCTCTTCCTCCCTCCTCCTCTTGACATCCTCTTCTCTCCTCATCTTTGTCTCATCCTCCACCTTTCGTCTGTTTTCCTCCTCTTTCCTTCTGTCTTAGAGCCAAAAAATAAGGAAAACATTAGCAGCAAAAAGCATGCAAAAGGATAGTGAGGGTTTGCTTTTGAATCTATTGTGGTGCTCCACACGCTAAGTATTGGGCCCTCTACTCTTAAAGTAGATTGTTGTAGATTGTTTCCTATTGGAAAAGTTAAAGAACAGCTTTTATTTTTATTTGTTGAGCTACTACTTTGTCCATACAACCTAAAAAAGTGATTCTTTTTTTACATTCTGTTAGTCACGAAGTTGGTTACTCGTTCCAACTTTTATATTCAAAAACAAAGATTGCAGCAAATGCTAGGAAGATTACATGGCTTCTGACCACAGAAATCTATTGTTTGAGTCAAGTGACTCGAAGAATCATTTATATAGATTTATTTGTTCAGTTGACCACAACCTTTTTGGCAGAAATGGAATGTTCTGACGGTCATGCTTCCAAAGGGATAGACACTTACATTTCATAAACTTTAATGAACTGTTTCTGGACTGAAAAGAGGTCAGCCATGTTAAAAACAAATCTGTACCTTGCTTTCTTGCTTTCTCTCTCCTCTTCCTTTCCTCCTCATACTTTGGATCTTCCTCCTCATTGGCTGACTGATAGACCGTCTCTGCATCACTGTCATCATTGTAACTGTGCAAGCAGTCCTTGAGGTTGGCCAGCTCTAACTGAGCGTGTTCATCGACCACCAGAGTGTATTTAACAGAGTCATAGTTTAACTGTGCCATATCTTCCCTCTTTGGTGCAATCTGAGCAGCCGCACCATCTCCCTGAGTGACAAAGGTGGTGCCACCCACCTCATTGTTATAGTCACCTTTTCCTCCCCTTGTCTCCACCTCTGACTTTGTACAGTCAACCTCAGCTTTTTTATTATCTGTAAGGCAAGGGGTTGGACCAATCTGGATGTTCAAGCACGGAGTTGGATCTCCTTCTCCCTCTTCTTCGCTGATGTCTGTGTCGATTCGGTGGACTTGAGAAGGATGTGGAGGCCCTGGTGGGGGTCCCTCTGTATCTGAGCTGAGGGACATTCTGTTTAGCCCCCCCTCGCTGCTGGACAGGGAGAGGATTGAGGGGTTGTCTTGGATCCTTTCATGGTTTTGTCCTTAAAGCACACAATATGTTAGCTACAACAGAGTGCTTAAATATATAGTTACTTGTGAACTGCCTGCCAACAAAATGGGAATCAAAATGATTCATGGACCAGAGATATGATTACATAGATTAGATATTCCTTTCCTTAGATCGTGATGGTGTAGCGTGATACAGATATTGAAAAGAGCAAACTAGTACTAGTTTTATTTAGTAGATGGAAGCCATTCAACAACAAGGGTTTTTATCACCAAGTATAAAGTTACCTACCACCCTGTGCTAAAGATGGGTTCTTTACCTTGGTTATGGGTCTTGTCCTCGGTTCGTGGTGCTAGAGGCGTGCGTGGGACCACCATGGCTGTAAGATATACTTCTTGGTTGGACAGTATGTTATTGGGCTTCACTACCCCTGCTTTGTTAACTCTTTTAGAACCTACTTTTCCTTTCCCATCAGCCCCCCAGCTTTTCAGTCCATTTGTTTCTCTTGGCCTCTGTCCATTTCTCTCTTTCTCCTTCCCCCTGGACTGATCACACAGCCTTCCACCTCTTCTATCTTCCTTCCCGGTTGTCCCTCCATTGTGACCTCTGGTGTCTCCCAGGCTCCTCTCTCTCATTGCTAGGGCTCCTCTTACTCCTTTCCTTTGACTCCTTGCTGTGGTGTAGGACTGTGTCTGTGTGAACCCTGACACTTGTCTTTCTCTCAGTCGAGCTTGCGTCTCTACAGCAGCAACCTGAGAGCTAGCTTTGCTGTTCACTCTGTTGGCTGAGGGTGGTTTTGGTGCCAGGCGGCGCGTTTTTTGCTGAACTTTGTCCTCTGCTTTTGGTTGGACATCTGGGGGTGTTAGATCCCCTTTAGAAAAAACAAAGGTATCATATTACGTATTACACAAACAGTTGTACAGAGATGGATTATCAAAGTTGCATTCAGTAGGCAGTTTATGGATTAGAATGACATGAACTGAAAAAAGCACACAATATATTTCAAATATTTGAGTATTTATTGCTTTCATTGTCAAGGATGGATACATGGATCGCTATTCGTCAAAAAGTATGTCTATACTTTTGACGGGTACTGTTAAATCAAGGTTGTTTGAATCGGCTAAATTTTAAGTGCCTCAATCACTTCAATCAATCAGATTATGTTTTTTTAAATGTGCCTTCTGGCAATGGGGTTAATAGAATGCATCATCAAATGAGATCTTGCTTGCGAAAATAATTATCTCAACTCCTTAATAAGTAGATAAAAACAAGCCCAAGTAGGTTCTTGGGGAGTCATCCTGTAAAATAAAATGGAGGGCCATGTTGACTGCATCATCTACAGACCTGTTGGCTCCAGACTTCTAGACTTCATGACCACTGAGGTCAGGGCGATGGGCCATTAAGTCCTGTGATCCTAGGCTTTTTGGGGACATGGCATGTCCAGTAGAGCAGTGTTTTTCAACCAGTGTGCCGTGAAAAAAATCATTTTTTACATACTGTCACTTCATTGGTGAAAAAAAAAGAGCCAACTTGTGTGTTTGTGTGTGTGTCGTCGCGCTGTTGGTGGCATGAAGGCTCAATACTCCCCTCTGCCTGTGGGTGGCGGTACGCAGCGTAATTAATAGGCAGATTTGCTGAGGCGACAATTTAAAAAAGTGAGATTTAAGGCCGGCGCATGCTTCTGCGTCTGCGTTTGCGTCGTTGCGTCGACGCACTCGTTTCAATTCATGGTTCTGCGTGTGTTGCAGAGCAATTCACAACCAGAACAACAGGCGGAGTAACGTGTTTTGTTGAAGACGACCTAGAGAGTCACGTCTATTTATTTATTTATTTATTTATCATAGACTTTATTGCCTCGTGCATCGCCACTGCTGCTTTTCATCGCGGACACATTTGTCCCGTATTTTCCTCCACAACTTTGTGCACCTCTCGACCGGCAAACCGGCGTTTGCGGCGATCTCCCTCCGTGAATCCAACCCGCTTCTACAACCCGCCAATGACGGCTTGTATAAGCGGTCATATTTACGCATTTCTTCCGACAAAAGTTCTTAAATCTGATCTCTCCGTTCTCTCGTAAACGTTCTTCGTTTTAGTAATGGCGGTATCGGGCTATGAAAGCGGAAATGTGAGACTCCGTAAAGGACGTAGTTAGCGGACCAATCGCAGCCTGGTGCGCTGCGGGAGGCTTGCGTTGCTTGCGTGGCTCGACACACGCAAGGACGCAAGGAGGTGTGAAAAGCAACGCAACGTAGAAGGGAGTGGTTCGGGGAACGGTGCCGGGGGAGGCATAATCAACCTCAGCTGAGATTAATCAGTGTTTGTGTTCCTCCTTTTAGTAGGAGAGATCCGGCGACAGCGAGGAGGGAGGCGAGGAGGCTGGAGCCGGTTGTGCGTTGTAAAAACGATAAAATACTAAACTACTACTACTACTAAAGACTGTACACTGAAACCCTCAGCCGCATCCTCATTATTCCGGGACCCCCACAGACCCACACGTTACAATCCTATTCACGTTACTCTCCAGAATAGAGAGAGGCGTCAATGTACAAAACCAATGCACCAAGGCAGCCATCTGCAGCCCCATCTTCAAATTTTCTTACTTGCCCGCCATGCTCGGGCTGGTATCTCCCAATGTTTTGGGTCTATTACTCATGAAAAACTAATCAGACCAGGGTGGTCATTGAATCCAGCGCCCAGTACTTGGCGTCTCACTAGTGCCCACTGGTTCTGATCTCACTTCCTCCTCAGTGTCATGTTAGGCTTTTGGAAGGAGAGGGTTGCAGTTATTGGGGACATCCAGTAGATGTTTCATTGTTTCTTTGTGAATGAAGACCACCGCAACTTCCTTTGCTTTTCATGATACAACAAGAATGATATCACTAAAGAAACTGTGAAATATCGAACGAAGGTCCACATCTGCGGCAACGCATCTCCCGCTAGCTATGGGCTGCGAAGGGCCATTAGAACATTTCAATATCTCACCAGCGGACAGAGAGCCCATCGGAAAATGAAGGTGTCGCCCCCCCCCCCCCACGTAAACTGTCAGTTTGTTCACAATGCAGTAACAATCACGAAGACGAAGATCTGACACACTTAAATCTATATTTTGTTTACGGGAAAATGATTAATTGCAACAGAGGTTGTCAGTTCATTGAGAATATAATATTCAAGAAGAATATATATAGAATAGAATATAGAATAGAATATATGAGATTAACTTTATTTGAAGCCATTGGAATCCATCATGACATTTTTCCTTTATTTGTCATTTAGTGTCCATACCTGTAATATGTGGGGAGGGGAAACAGGAGTCCTTCCAGCTGTCATTATTGCCTAAAGAGTTGTTGTTAATGGAGTCCTGGATAGAGTTGGTGAAACAGAACAGGAATGTAAGAGCAAAAACCAACACACAATTGGGTTATCACACACACAAACACACACACCGACAAACACATACATACACAATTAAATGTTTTTTGGGAAATTATGTGGATATCCTGTAAAGAAAGTAGTAATTAATAAATGCAAACATTTTGTACAACTTTATAATGTCTTTCTGTATGCCTTAGCTCAAGACCAAAGGGAGGGGCATTACATGTGTTGGGCCATAGTAGAAAAGATAGTGAGGGGCAGAAAATGGGAAGTCCATTAGGGGTGTGGTTTACGCAAGGACACAGCCACTGCCTGAGATGTCATATGAAAAGAAGGAGAACTTCAGGAGAGTATATGCCCAGTGTGTTGTCGGAAATCAGCCGGCCTTTTGTGTGACCACTTTACAGGGACCAGTCTGTCGGGTGAAACACATTAGGCCTCTTCTCCATGAAGTTCCTCTTCTTGCAAGAATGAATAATTTAAGCATTATGGAATGCTATTGTGGTGGCGTGCAGTGGTTTGGCTCAGGGAACAGTGCTGCGAAGAGGTGTTATTGGCCTTATTACATCATGTGGGGTTAAATGTTTCTAGCCCTTTAAAACAAGCAATAGTGGTGATTTTGCAGGGTTCCAGAGAAGGTTGAATGGGGAATGCTGAGGGAGAGCACCATCAGAGAGTCCCAAATGAGAAAGTCTGGTTATTTCTGTTGTCCATAAAATACCACAGGCAACCCAATACATCACAGCTACCTACTACCATTCGTGATAAGTAAATTCAGACAAAAAGAGGCTACTGCTACTGTTATGCAATCTTTCAGTATGTTGGATTTGGTTTTATTATCTTAAATATGATTTTATAGATTTAATAAAACCTTGTTTTGTTAATAACTACCAACATGGTCTGCCTTATCCACAGTGACATAACTGCATGCCTTGGGTTCTATTAAAATCAAACTAGTATTTCCTGGGGTGTAATTCCCCATGTGTAATATTCCCCTAAAGCCCTGTCAGAGTGGCAACTCAAAATACTGGGGTTTAAATACAAATGAAGTTGATGAAGAAGGCTAAATTGTCTTATACTAAGGGTTATACCAATTTGTCACGCTTCTTTTCAAGCTGTTTGATGCCCCAGCCACATTCTAACGTCTCTGACAGTCCCAAGAGTACATCCTATGTACCTGGAGGATGTCATCAATCACAGCAACAGCTGCGTGGAGCAAATGCGGCAGGGAGCCGATGTGCTTAAGTCACTGAGAAAGGCTGGACTCAGCCAACCCGTCTGTGGGCTGACAGAGGGAGATACGGTATCAAAGGTACCACTGGGTGCCGTGCAGATGCATCCTGGCTGACCTAATCAGCCAGTCAGACCCAGTTCAGTGGACAGAGCAGTGTTTCCATACATCTACACTGTAAAAAAGAATCTGTTGAAAATACGGTGAAATACTGGCAGCTGTGGTTGCCAGAACTCCACCGTAAAAATGACAGCGTCAACGTATTAGACATTACGGGATGTTTTTTACTTTAGTTGTGGATGCCAAAACGTGACCATAAAAACGACAACGCCCACGTATGACGTTTTTTTGGCAGTTGTAAATTTTCACAGTTCAAAACTTTTTGTTTGTGGCAAATGACTATTGAAAAAAATAAATATTAAAAACATGTTGATGGTAATTTGCGTTAAAAACATCTGCTGAAAATACGGTCAAATACTGCAGTGAGAACTTACAGATAAGACATTACGGTATGATGTTCTGGCCACTGTAAATTTCACAGTTGAGAAAGGTTTTCATTTTTCATTGACACAAACCCTTGAAAGTCACAACACGAGAATGTTTTTGGACCGTGGGAAGAACTGACGCAAGCATGGAGTGGAATCCAACCCAGGATCTTGGTGCTATGAGGTGACAGTGCTAAAGTAAAGGACTATTATTTTTAAAAGTATAGTAAAAGTAATTTGCCGTAAACATGTCGTGGACGTTATCGTTTTTATGGTCATGTTTTGGCATCCAAAGCTGCCGGTATTTTACCGTATATTGTTTTTAAAGTTAATTACCGTAAACAAATAAGGATTCTGAACTGTGAAATTTACAGTTAAAAAAACATCCCATAATGTCTAATATGTTGACGCTGTCATTTTTCACCGTATTTTCAACATATTTATTTTACAGTGCACGCTGGTCTGTATATTTAACACCAACAACATATATTTTTTAAAGGTAATTCATGTAAAAATCACAATATTGAATGATTTCCATATTACGGTGCATTTCTGTACAGTACAAATTCTAGTACAATTAACAGTGATAAAATGTATTTATTACAATATATGAATGGCCAAATGGGGGCTAGAAGCAGTGTTTTCACTACCATTATATTAAGGGGCGCCCTGCCCCCCCTTGCAATGTCAAGTTCATTCTGTTAAATTTTATTTTCTATTTAGCGCCAGATCACAACAGATTTAAGGCTACATTTCCTATAGAACAGTTTTATACCTTGTTCTTTTATTAAACAAACTAAAAGAAAATTACGCATAAATTCAGTCTATCAGGGAGGTGCAGGTGATTGGACACACATGTGGAAACAATCAGACAATCATAGGGGATGACAGGACCAGGCAGGAAGTGAAGTTACCCAGGGAGAAACGAAGCAGAAACTACAAAATAAGACAGGAAATAACCCACACCGTGACAGTACCACCCCTCAAGGGCCAAATTCCAGACGGCTCTAAACTAGCGGAGAGCGGACAAGGGGTGGGAGGAAGCACTGCATGAAAAGTGAGATTTTCGTCCCCGTAAACGCCCGGAAATCTCCCTCATTTCCGACAATTTCCGACAATTTGCAACCCGCGCACGTCGCGTTTGTCTGTGCCACAAATTGTCGGAAACGAACCATGACGTAGGTGGAGAGCTGGCGGAGGTGCGAATGGCCCGAATTAGCATATGAATGCAGCGAAACCGCGGGTGGCCGAGCCGAGCAGGCTTGAATATCCTTACTCCTTATTGGATGAAACCACAACTTACTAACAAATAAAATCACTCGTGATTGGCAGGAAAACCACACCTGGGCAAACCAGGCTTGAGTTTCCTTGTTCATGATTGGATGAAACCACAACTTTTAATCACTCGTGGTTGGCAGATCTGTCGCTATTGGTCACCCGCCTCATTTTATTTATATATATTTATATATTCATATTATGCTGTATATTCATTTCATTGTTATCATATGAAGGCTACTACACTATTATTAGGATACCAACCAGGACATCAATGAATTTATAGAGAAAATGAACATTTGCCACATGTTTATGCAAAGAAAGAGCTTTATTAACAACACACAAACAACAACTACATACAAAGTGAGGATCTGCCCACACTTGGGTAAAGGCGGTTTAAAAACTACAGCTCAGTAAACTGTCCGTTTGCCTCCTCGGGGTTGTAGACCGTCACTGGCGCCGTGTTTTCCGAGGCAGGTCTGTTGTGCAGGCGCCTCGTGTGTGTGGCGACCGTACAATCCACCCGAGACCCCGCCAACAACGCCGTCCTCTCCGTCCGACGTGAGCTCCACGGTGGCGGATTTCCAGAGTTCCACCTCGTCATCAGCCAGCACACTTTGTCTCGATTCCAGCAGCTGTAAAAACAACAATGAATCAGTACTGTGCGATGCGATGCGTACGGACACAACACATCTATCAATGCACCTGAAAAAAAGTCAGCAAATAAACTCTGACCGTCTTTCTTCTCGCTCAACTCCGCGCTGAATCCTTCGCAGCTTCCGCCCGCAATGAGTGTTCTGGCTGAACCTGAAGCTCCTGCATCCCGTCTGAAAATACGTCTCACAGGCAGCTGAAAACAATTAAATGAGTGTGGTATGAATACAAAAAAAAATCAAAATCAAGTCACAGTAACATTTAACAAGAAAGGATAAACAGTGTCACTTACACACAATGACGTCGTCTAAATCTGGACTTTTCCCGGAGCAAATACGAGGTCACCGTCTCATTATGAGGCGAGATTAGTCTGTGAAAACAAAATGTACAGTTATGATCGGTATCTATACGTATATATTTCCTAATAGCGCAGAATGAAAGCATATTCTTTAAATCTGACCCTTGCTCCGGTTCGTAGCGCCTGTAATTCGTCTCGGCGTTGTGAAGACTGCGCACCGCTTCCTGTAAACGACACGGCAAAGAAAATAGACTTTAATAAAGCTGTTTCTGCTCACTTGTAAGGCTACTAGGCTACTCTTAGCTTTCGTTTGAGGCTACGCTACTTTTAGCTTAGCTTGCAGTCATCGAACGTATTCTTACCGCTATCTTGGGATTGTGCGCCCGTCTCCTCTTCTTTGAGTCAGTTCCTCTCCTCCATGGACAGAAACCTGGAGAGTCCCGAACGCTCCAGTGGAGCGAACCGCTCGTTGATATCGGCAGTTTGTTGTTGGAGTTGACGAGACGATCCACTGAGAGCATTCAGCAGCTTCTTCTCGTCTGTCTGCGGACTGGCCGAAAGTTGGTGGCCGCGGAGAGGAGTTGAAGGCGAGTTGAACGCGAGCCTGAGACGTCGTCCCGCCATTATTCACGAACCAGCAAAAACCAAACAAAGGAACTGGAGATACAGTTCTTCTGAATATAGTAACACACTGTTTGTATGCTCGTCTTGCAAGTACTGCTGTCTGAGTCATGCCTATGACCTCACACGTGATTGGACGAGGAGTCTAAGGGTCCTCCAATCACATACGAGGTTATTGTTATACGGAAGGACCAGTATTTTAGGAAGACAAATGGTTGAGACTTTGAAACAGCTGATATGCTTTATGTAAAGCAGTGTTTTGGTGTCAGCAGAACGACTTTCCCTGGAAAACTGTACAGTGGTGCCTCTTTCTCCATTCCACCAGACAATCTTGAGTCTGACATACATGCAATGTTGACAATGTATCATCAGATGTACCCTTGTGTCACTGAGGTTGAATGTTTTGCCATGACATGTAAACG